AGGGCGGTGTCACTGGCCCTCATATGTGGGATCCGAACCGGGGCCCTCTGGCATCCCAAGCGAGTTCTTAACCATCGCGCCACTCGGCCGGCCCTACTTGGTTGTTATTGAATCATTGTCTGTGCTATCCCTATGGGCAGGAGGCCTGGGTGTGGAGCTGTCTGCCACAGGGCCACTGCACATCACTCAAGTACCATAATTACATTAACCAGACCAGGAAATCCAGATACCTCAGTGTTTGTCTCCAAAGAGTACAACTTACCTGTAGACGATGCCTTTGGAATGAAGGAACTGCAGACCGAGAATGATTTCAGCAGCATAAAACCTGAGGGAAAGAACGTGAGGGTTCACATGAGTGCGTTAATGGAACCAGACCATGCCCCACTTTATCTAATGAGTGCTCTGTGCACACACACAACTCTGTTTCATTCATCGTAACAAAGGGAATGTCAGCCCTGACAGATGGAACAGAGCTGCCATCTGAACTTTGTTCTACCTTCTACCTGCAGCAGGTGCTTATATTTCAAACCACAATGCTCAAACTGTCATTTCCCCCTAAGAAAACATACACGAACATTAAATATAATAGTACATAGCATAATAGGAAAATAATTTTCCCTTTTTTGTGACATTGTACTTGGAGCCCCTAGCAGAGTATGCAGGGTCATTCCAAAAAGACTTGCCTTGTTCACGTGCAAGAAATGCAGCCTAACATGGGGCAGAAAGGATATGAGAAGATGGGAGGTGATACGGGGCCCTCCGTCTGCAGGGACAGATGGAAAGGAAATGAGTTTACACCGTCACTGGTGGGATTACAGCTAGAGATAAGGGAGAACTTCCTGGACATGCGGTTTGCTGGATTTCACAGAAGAGTGCAAACGCTGCCCTCCTGGGAGGCATCGAGGATGAGGACGCACTAGCTGGCGTGTGTCTGTGACGGCTGGTGTGTGTCTGTGACGGCTGGTGTGTATCTGTGACGGCTGGTGTGTCGCACAGAGCCAGAAAGAACGCAGGACCCGGTGAACCCTTTCTGGCATGAAAAATGCCTGACGCTTTCTCTGCTATGGAAATCCCATCCAGTTATCTCTGGGCACTTGGCTGATGGCTCCTTGAGACAATGAGGCCAGCAGCGTGCTACCCGCTAGATCTCACAAAACAGTCATTTCATCCAGGTTTCTGCAGGAGCTGGCTGGGCAAGTCCGTCTTTCAACCCAGCTCAACCTCAGTCAAAGCGTTCATGAGGGGCGAGTGAAAGAGGATTGAAGAAATAAAGCATTTGTGAAGGGGCCTGCTGCTGGCACAGTTTGCGTTTGGATGTCACAGTGGTTCCACCACCACTCAGGAAACCGGGCCCACAGGAGGAAGAGTGGTGGTGGTCGGGTAGCGGTGGGAGGGGTTCTGTGGGAATCAGTTGCAATCCCACCAGATAAATGCAGCTAGCCTGATGTCATTTGCATACAGGGTTGCTTGATGCCCAAGGAGGTGAAGATTTATTTTCACACTAAGTGCCTCTTCCGGTTTCCTGGTTCTCATGCTTCAGCTTCACGCTGGGCTTCCCACTGAGGGCCTCCGCTGACGTTTCCTCCTGTGACCCTTGTAAGATCTGTGCTGCATCAGACTGCTTTCTTTTGGGGTGTGTGTGTGTGTGTGTGTGTGTGTGTGTGTGTGTGTGAAAATTTGCTTCTGTGCTCAGATCATTTAGAAGCTGGATGAATTGGGGTATCTCTATGAGAAACTACATAGTTGACTTCAAAACACAGAGAAAGGAAACAAGGCTGACATGAATGTATGCTTCACAAACTGGGAAAACGATTGCCTTGTGTGATTTGTTCCCTGGGAGTTAGGCGTGCTGAGTGAGGAAACACAAATGCCACTGGGGAAAAGTGCTCTGTGGGCATTGTGGGGGGACACAGTACCTTCCAGCAACAGTGGAAAAACCCCAAACCCTTTCAAGGAATCTTACGTTGCTCTGGAAAGGTCAAATTTGTGGCAGCTTTGGATGTGGTACATTAAGTCTCCTCCGTTGAGATACTCCATCACAAAAAAGAGGTTTTCCTAGGGAAAAACAACATAGTCCCAACCTTTAGCTTCCTTAAAAGAAAAGAACACAAGGATTACTTTTGAAATGGGTTTAGATGATTTCACAGGCACCAATTCTGTCTTGCGATCACTTATAAAAAGACTGTCCAATGAATTTGGCTGAGCTACAGCATTTTTGAACCCCAAGAAGCCCAGGAGCCTGTAGGACATTTGCTGGGATGCTCGTATGCTAGGATTCTGCAGATGGGCACAGCATGGGTGGGGGCCCTGCTAGACTCTGTGCCTGGCACTGGGATGATGCTGGCACTTAGTGGGTGGGATGACCTTGGGCACTTAGTGGGTGCTGATTGTCACCCTACTGAAATTGCCAGTGTGTGGGATGGGGGAGAGAATCCACATCGGGGCCCTGACTGCAGGGGCAGGCTGAAGGCATCCCTTCCCTCAACACTCAGTAACAGCTCTGAACATATTCTACAGGCATGGCCCTGTGGGAGGGATGAACGTGGAGATGCTCACTGCTGCCTCAGCCATCAAAGATGGTGAGACGCAGTCCTGCCTTCAGCAAGCTTACAGTCAACAATAGCTGTCTCTCTCCAGTCCAGGCTTCACTGGTGGCAAGCCACGGCTTGCAAGCATGTTGTCCCTGTGAGAGGCCTCCATGCATGTTATTAGAGCTGGTGCCCTTGAGTGACACCATCAAAAGCAAGGCCAAGTCGCCTTCAGGGTGTGGTCAGGTTGTCAGAGGTGGCCACGAGTCCCGTACGCCTGAGCTCCTCTTCCCATGTGAGACACTACGTCCTTCAAAACTATATGTGTAGCCCTTTGAGCGCCCTGATTTTTAGAGTCCCCATGAACCACAGAATTAGTAATCCATAAAGTGTGGAGATATTGTGGCATGTCTGTGCATAAATTTGCACCTGAAAACCTCACCTGGGTGATTTTTTAACAGAATTAACCTTCAAGTTTCGCTGTGAAACTAACTGTGGCCCTGGGGCATACGAGGTGATGGTAGAGATGGCGTTCTGTTCTGACAGTGACTATATTGCCTGTTTTTTTATTTTATTTTATTTTTTAGTTTCATGTGTACAAAACACTGTAATAGTTAGACATTTCACCCCTCACAAAGTGATAACCCCCTTCCCCAATCCATTGCCCCTCTGACATCGTATATATCTATTACAATTCCATTGACTCTATTCCCTATGCTGTACTCCATATCTCATGACTGTATATATATATATGTATATATATATATATTTGTAAAATTATAGTTGACATTCAATATTATTCAGCTTCAGCTTCAGGTGTACAGTGCAGCCGAGGATATGAAAAGACATTTCTCTAAAGAGAACATACAAATGGCCAACAGACATATGAAACAATGCTCAACCTCACTAATCATTAGAGAAATGCCAATAAAAGGCACAATGAGATACCACCTCACTCCTGTCGGAATGGCTATCATCAATAAATCAACAAACAACAAGTGCTGGCGAGGCTGTGGAGAAAAGGGATCCCTGGTACACTGTTGGTAGGACTGGAGATTGCCTGTTACTTTCATGGAGGCCAGGTCTTCACAGAACTGGGGAAAACAAGTATTATGGCCGTTCTCTCAAAAATTAAGGTAAAGGTAAGGGTCATCCTGCCTTTTTAAAATTGACCTCAGACGGGAGGCAGTGGAGCCCACTCTTGGTCTTGTGGACAGGCCAAATTTTTCTGTGACATAAACCCTAACATTGATATTTTACACATTGAGATGAATTATTTGCCTCGTCTGCACACACCTGCCTTCTCACTAGCACATCTGCCCTCAAGTTCTTGTAGCCATAAGTATTATATGAACAGTTTCTCACTTTTACCCAAAACTACAATGGCCGGTACACACGCAGTGGTGGGATCTCCCAAGTATTCAGGAGAATGAGAGGTATAAAAGCTTGAAGTGAGACCATTTATAACAGTGCTCAGATGGAAGATTCTCTTTAAAGGTTAGGATGCTTACAAATTCCTCTAAAGGCTGACATTTCGGAGTTTACAAATTGTCAGTTTGGACTTGGAGAAAGTGGGGGAAGGCGACTCGAGACCAAAGGTTAGCCCTTATTTCTGCACACCCCCAGCACAGTAGGCTCACCACTTCTTGTGTCTAGATCAGACTCTGCACCTGTGGTGGGGGTTGGGCATTGAATTTGTGCTGCAAAAGAGAGTCTAAGAAACCATGGGGCTCGGCCAGTGTTGACTACCATGGGCATTCCAAGAAGAACACGCCGCGGTAGTGGTTATTAATTGAGTAGTAATGGAGATTCATGTTGGCTGGAGCATGTTGGATGCCATGCTTAATTCCACAAAGACTTTACGGTTCCACAGTAAACCTTTCAAAACAACCTTTTACAGTTCTCATCTTTATATTAAGCTGAGGGCACTGAAAAAAGCCTGTTGATTTTGGCTACTTATGATGGCATTTTGCTTCAGTTTAAGCCTTTGGTTCGCGTGAATACCAGCTAAAACATGGGCTTTTTAAAGTCCAGCTTGGGCAGGCAGGAAGGGGGACCTGTTATTCCTCTAGAGGGTGCTGTGCTGAGAATCTTTGCCCTCTCCTAGGGGCTCTGATAGCTGTTTGGAAGTCTCTGGGATCCACTCATCCAGGGCACCGGTGGGTCCACTGTGGGCCCAGTGAGATGGCTCTGTGATGAAATTAGCATACATGCATGCACAAACAAACCACACAGTCCTGGGTTTTGCGTTTTGAGTATTGCAGTTTAAGGGATGGATAAACCTTTCCCAAGTTGAATCCCAAGTCCATCATAAAAAGTAAATGCAAATAGAACAGCCTCAAACTTTAGGAAACGTCTAGGAAGGAGTGCTCAGAGCTGAAGGTGACCTGCCACTGACCCGGAACCCTGTAGGACCGCCATCAAAAAGAACAGTCTGCCCACTGGAGAAACTCTGGATTGGGTCGGGTGGGGTCAAACCCAGAAGAACACGACACAGGGTAATTGTTAAGACCATGGACTTCACCCTCGCTCAGACCTGAATTCAGGAGTGCCTCTATTTGTGACTTTGGAGAAGTGACAAGGTCTTAACTAAGCCTCTACCGAGCCTCATATTCTTCATTTGTGAAATGGAGGGAATGACATCCCCACCTCCTAGGGTTGTCATGAGTAGTCAATGAGAGGATATATATAGAAAGCTGGCTCACAGTTGGCACTCAGCATGCACTCAATATCTGCTAGCTGTTGTCGTTCTAGGAAACAATTTAAAAGCCAGTCAAAAAATAAAAATAAAAACACACAGCAGCTCCTTCCCAGAAAAAGGACCAGCACAGTCCTGTGGCTCTTGAAACAAAGAGGGAAGCGGAGTTGGCTCTGCTCCAGCCTGGTCTTTCTGTTCTGATCCCGAGCTGGGAGAAAATGCAAAGCAGGCTAGCGAGGGAGAACCTGGGCTGGTGACCCACGACGCGCCAGTGTAACCTCTCTTGTTTGGGCCTGGTCATATGTTAACTGATGCCCACGATTCTTTCAGGGGAGTGAGAATTGACACTGTGATGGTGTTGGCGGACGGGATGCTCCAAATCTGCCCTAGACTTAGAATTTGTCAATCGCTGCTGGCATAGTTTTTGTGGAGTGGCGATGCTGTGCTGTGCTGACGCTAACTTGCTTGAGATTAGATAAATCACACCATCCCTGGGCCTCAGTCTCAGCCTCTGAGAAATGAGAAGTATCGGCAGGACCCTTGGTACATCCCCCTTTACTGGACTAAAGACTTCCTGATTTTCACCCTGCATTTAATTTTTTCCCCTTTTCTTGGTGGGAAAGATGAAACTAGCAAACCATGACTAGTGAGCACATTACAAGACTTATGTAGTGCTCCCCAAATGATAAATATTGGTAAGATGATGTTATGCTCGCAAAATGCTTAAGGGCAATCTTTGATCAGAAACAATGTATATGAGAAGATGAATGAAAGGAATAGAGATGAGTCTTTCCTTTGAGCCTCCAAGGCAGCAAGCATGATGGCTGGGTTCATTATGGCCCTCCATGACACCCAAAGAAGGTCCCAAAATAGAGGTCAGAGGGCCTTCTCCCGCCTAAGTAGTCTCCTGGTTCTGCCAATAGACCTTGGCTATTGCTGGGCAACACCTCTCTGTCCGAGTCCTGGCTGCTTTACCATTTGCATGAATCCCACCATGGGCCAAGGGCTGAGAAGCAGAAGGTTAGAACAGACTGTAGAGGTCAGCCCTGTTTTGAGTAGACAAGAATGACAGGAGAATGATTTTTGGATTGGTCTTTGCATTTTGTTTCTGAATCGTGCGTCTTATTCTCTTAGGAAGAACTCCAGCAAGCCTGCTCAGAGAAGAGTACTACCTCTGACTTCAGAAAATAATCGAAACAAAGGAGTGAACCTCAATCCTTAGGACCCATGCCCCATTCCAAGCATTCGGTGAGTTTTTTTCACTTTGCCTACTGAGTGGTGCCTTGGAAAAGTGAATTTTATAATTGGAAGGTTGCCTTACTTGGCCTGTTTCCTATGGGAGGAAACACACTGAGGTTCTTGCAACCTCTGTTGATATCAACTCAGATGGATTGATCTGTAAAGGGAGCGTTCTCATAAGCCTTCATATTCATGGTCTTCAGAGTGAGTGCTCTGACTGTTCTTCCTTCACCCACTTATCTTATGAATGAAACGATAAAACACTGGGCATGTTTGCGTCCTGTCGGTGAAGTGAGTTTGAGTTGGCGTTTGACAGTATAATTACATCAGAGTCACTGGAAGAAGTGGTTCATTGACTAATGCTGAACAACCTCTGGCTAACAAGAAAGCATTTGATCTACCACTCAATAACACTGATTTATCGATCAGCTCTCCAGTTTACAAATATACCTGCGACATGTGTGCTGCTCTGTATGCCAGACCATAATGACAAGAAAGCAACAGTTATTTATTGCTTTGCTGTGATTTTCTGACCGCTGAAGGCAATAATCAATGCTGATATTCTGTAACTAATGGGTATTCAAAGCTCT